TCGGCAGGCGGACTCTCAACCACTGCGCCACCAGGGAAGCCCCCTCTCCACTTTTTGACTGTCCCAACTCATGCTGCTCTGAACATTTGTGTGCAAGCTTTTGTGTGGACGTATGTTTTCAGTTCTCTTGGGTACAGACCTAGGAGTGGAATTACTGGGTCATATGGTAACTTCATTGCTTAGTTTTTTTTTAACAGCTTTATTGTGATATAACACACACCACACAATTCGCTCATGTAAAGTGCATAATTCAATGGCTTTAGTATATTCACAGAGCTGTACATCCATCACCGCGATCAATTTTAGATCATTTCCATCACCCCAGAAAGAATCCCCCCACCTCCTGACCGCCACCCTCTTCCTCTCATCTCCCAGCCCTAGGAAACCAGTCTCCCTTCTGTCTCTATGGATTTGCCTCTTCTGGGTAGCTCATACATGTGGAACCATGCAACACGGCATCCTCTGAATCTGGCTTTTTCTACTCAGCACAATGTTTTCAAGGTTCATCCATGTTGCAAGCATTGGTACTGCATCCCTTTTTATTATTATTATATTATCACTGAATAATATTTCATTTAAATATTCCACGGAATAGTATTCCAGGTAGTGTGTGGGTGCGCCCAGCACTTTTCATCTGTTCATCAGTTGATAGACATTAGTGTTGTCTCCACTTTGGGGCAATAAGGCTGTTTCACTTTTTGGGGAACACCCCACTGTTCTCCCAGCTGGCTGCCACAGAGCATTTAGTGAGCATCTGCTGTGTGCCCCTTTCATTCCTACCACTATCCAGCAAGGCAGGTCCTAATAGCCATTCCATTTTGCTGTGGCACAGAGAGGGTGAGACACTTGCTCCAGGCCTCATTGGGTCCCAGGGCTGCTGAGCGAGGTGAGGTCTGGGAACCAGACACTTGGTTACATGACCACTAGGTGCTGGTGGTCTGTGGAACCTGCAGGAAGGATCTGCATGCTGACTCTCCCAGGATAGAGGCCAGCCTATGATTCCCAGACATGGTGGCCAGGGTGGCAACTGTCCCCGCCCTTCTAGGCACCCCTCATCAGGCTGTTCCAAGCCACCCCAAGGCCCTGGCAAGTGTGCAGGAAACTTTGGTCCAATCTTGGTCAAAGGAATCAACGAACTAATGAACAAGATGCAGTGGCCACCAGCAGCCGGGGCATTTCAGGGCTCAGGGCCAGGGCAGGGAACCGAGGTTCTGGGCCCAGCTTCTCGGAGGAGAGCCCTGGGGACAGAGGAGCTGCAGGTGCAGAGGGCAGACCTGGGACCCACCAGAGCATCCCCCAGGGAGGGCCTGCCCTGTGCTGGGCTGTCTTGGTGGCTGCCCCAGAGTTGCTGCTTGTCTCAGCTGTCATTCGGCCGGGATAGTGTGGAGGGACCTCCCCGTGCCTGGAGGTATGTAAGCAGAGGCTGGACTTGGAGGATGCGGCAGCAGTGGAGGGGGGGCGGGGGGTGAGCCCGCCCAGCCCCAGGTGGACCAGGCACACAGGCCAGATGAAGTCCCTGCTCTGGAGCACGTGGTGTCGCAGGTGGGCCGGGGAGGAGCGGTCGGGACTCTGGGGGGCAGCCGGCCGCTCAGTCCCGTGGCGATGGTGACCTAGGCCAAGGCCACCAGGCCGTGGAGGAATGCACCAGCCCCTCTGCTCATAAACCTACTCCCCCAACTCCCCACCGCCTGTGTGCCGGGCGAGGTCATAGGTCATCCAGAGGTGGCTGTCAGGAAAGGCTGGCATAAGGCACGACGGCCAGCTCCAGGCCGTTCACAACCCTGGGCTGTGCGGCCCACAGCGGACCAGGCAGGGCAGGCAGGGAGCAGAGGCGGGAGTGCCGGGCGGTGGGTCTCAGGCTATACCCGGCCGAGAGCCCAAGTTCAAATTCTTGGGGATCCTGGAGGCCCTGCCCAGAGGTCACGCAGAACACAGCCCCGGAGCACTCAGGGAGTGCAGACAGGATTTCGGAAGACCACCGGTGAGACCCCGTCCTGTGCTTGGACCGCTGTCCCCGGGGGCAGCAAGTGGCCCCAGCTGTGCTCGCTCAGAGGTTGCACGGGCCGGAAGAGCAGCCTGATCACCCTCCCTGTGCCTGGGCCTCGGCAGGTGTGGGCCTGCAGAGGGCGGAGGAGGCGATGTGGCCGCACGGTGTGCCCTGCCGGGGACAAGTCTGAGGATGCGACGCTGGCTCCTGGGGACACGGGCGTGGGTGGCCCCTCTGGCCTCCTTGGACTCGGCAGGCCTCTCCGAGGGGCGGCCCTCGGTGGCTGGGCCTGGACAGGCCCCAGGGCCGTCACTTTCTGCATGTGTGCCTGTGCTTGGGGTGCCCCCAGTGAAGGGTGCAGGGTCGCGGGGCCGCGGGGACCAGGCCAAAGAGGAGGGGACGCCTCCTGGGCTCCAGCGTGTTTCCCTCCAGGGAAGCCCTGTGTGAGTTCCAGGAGGGGCTCCATTAGCTGTGCCTGGGGGGGAGGCTGGGGCTGAAGAAGGACCCACAGGGAAAGGGGAGTCGGGCCTTCCCGCCTCTCCCCTCGGGGACTCTCCTGCCTCATCTACCGTGGCTGTCCGGGCCTCAGACGACGTGATGGGGCCGTGAGTCGTAAGCCTCACCCTCCAAGGGTACAGAGCAGGACAGTGGGAGCGCTCTGAGCGGGGCACCAACACAGAGCCAGGGGCCCGAGGGGGACAGGCTGGGCCCCTCTGGGCCAGTGATGGGCACACAGGGGTCCTGGAGCCTCCAGAGGCTGCCCTCTCCCAGGGAGGACATGCGCCCAGGCCTGGAGGCTGCCCCATCTCGTGCCACCATCCCCCCCCAGCCCACCTGCCAGGTTGAGCCCTCTTCCCAGCAGGGGCTGCTCTCCTGTGTGCAGTGAGGAAGGAAATTGCAAATTAATCTTTATTTCCATCTTGGAAGAAAACCTTAATTCTCTGCATGGAAATGATCCTCGTCAGACCAGGGAATCAATTATGGGCTTTAATTGCAGTCAGTCCTGGCCAATCAGAGTGGGGTCGACCCCAGGGACCCTCTCTCTCCTCCCCGTCTCTGGGGCCCTCCCCTGGGTGCACTCAGCTCTCGGGGTCCCCCTATCTCTCTCTCTACTTCTTTCTCCATCTCTCTGGGCGTCTGTCTCGCTCTTTCTCTGCCGCCGTATGTCTCTGCCTGTGTCTCGCTGTCCCTGGCTCTGGCCACTCCCCACAGCACAGGGCTCAGGCAGGCACCCCAGCTCTGACGAGCCCCATGGGACCTCCGCCTGCAACCTCTCTGGCCTCTGAGCTGCAGCTTCAAGGCTGGGGCTGAGGGGGTGAGTTACTGGCTCCTCCCTGCCCCCCAGGGTCTTCTCGGGAGTCACCTGCCATCCTACACTCAGGCCTGCAGGTGACCTCAGGCTGGCCGTCCCTGGCCAGGCCCGGGCCCCATGGCTTCGCTGTGTACAGCAGCTGCCCAGAGGCCCTGGAGAGGCTTCCGGCTCGGGTGGGTGGGAGGCGCCCTGCCCGGAACCGACAGCCTCAGTGTTTCCACCCGCGATGGGGGCACCCCCAGGACTGGGTCTCCTCCCACCACCTTCCGGCCACCGGGAGATGCTTGTCTGTCTTATCAGTGGCGCCCTGTGACTGACAACTGCTCCTTAACAGCAGCCCACCCGGCTGTCCACAGGGTAGGGGCGGCCGTGGCTTGCCTGCATGTCCACACGCACCCAGACCCCCTGTTCCCCGGGCCAGCTCTGCGCCGGGACCTGCCCCACAGGGTTCCCCGTGCTGGGGGGCTGGGGCAGAGGACCAACCCCGCCCTCCTGCCTCAGTTTCCCTCTGCTCCCCTGACCTGCACTCCCACACCCTCCCCAGGGTGGGCTCACTGAGCCCCACCGAGTCAGGCAGGTGACTGGTGAGGGCCTGGGTGGCGGGCGGGCGCGTTTCCCTCGACCCCTGAATACTGAGAAGCGGAGAGATGCTGCCGATTGGAGGCCAGCGTCCCCTGTTGTCTGGCGCCACATCTGATTAGGGAACAAATTGCTCCATCTCACCCCACACCTGTGACACAACAGCCTGCCCACACCTGCCTGCCGCCCAGAGGTGCCTGGCCCACTTCCGCTGGACCCTGCCCTGGGCTGAGCATCTCAAGCCACGTCCATTGTCCCCGGCTCGCATGTCCTCTCCTGCCCGGGGCCCGCAGCGCACGCCCTGATTTTTCTTCTCTCCAGCTTGGTCTCACGCACGCCGGTCTCCAGCCCACACCGTCCCAAGCCCCGGGTCCCGTGTCTCCCAGGGGCTGCGGGGTTGGGCTCGGGAGGCCCAGCGAGCTCGTCAAGGTGTCCCACACCCGTGTCTGCCGCGGGGCTCCCACCTGGCAGCCGACGTTGTGACCGCGGGGAGGCTCGCCAGGTGTCCCAGGTCCCCTCCCTCTCGCTGCCTCGTGTGCCTCCCAGTGCCAAGGCAAGAGGCCACGTCGCGTCCCCCTCCCCTGGCCTTGGCTACGGCCCCTCCTTGCTGACCACCAGCCTCACGCTCCTTCCCACCGGCCTGTGCCCCCAGCAGGCCCTCCCCACGGGTATCTGTGCAGGCCCCTCGTGATAAGGGTGTATGTGGGGTGCTGGTCAGGTTTGGGGTGGTGGTGGTGTTGACAGTCTAGGGACAGGGTAAGGAACTGGCTGAGAAGGGCAGGAACTGGGAGGGCCCAGGACGGGTCAGGACCTGGCTCTGTGGCCCAGCTTTGGAAGCCTTGGGAAATCTGGGCTTCCAAGGGCTGCCTGGAGCTGCAGGGAAGGCCCGGTTCCTGCATCCTGCCGGCTCCACCCCCACCTTTCCGGGCCCTCAGGCGGTGCAAGGACAGGCCCCTAGAGACTGCAGAGGGGGTTGAGAGGGTGTGATCATACCTGGGGGGTGGCAGGCACCAGGGAGGACCGTGCAGGGAGGAGGGTGGGAGGGGGAGCCAACCGGACGCCACGGGCGCCCTTTGCGGGTGACGAGGCCCACAGACCCCGCGCCGCTCAGCTGCCCCTCCGACCGGCCCCCCTCGGCTGGCGGCACAAGCAAGGTCCACGCCTCAGAGTGTGGCAGGTGGGAGGAGTGAACTGGGCCTGGAGCCAAGGTCATCTGTGCAGGACGAGCGAGAGATGGACGCGGAGACCCCGAGGCAGAGGCAGAGTGGGCGGGGGCGCCTCCCCCAGCTACGCGGCCCCTCCGAGGGCCCGGGTGGGCCGGGTGAATGCTGCTGTGACAGCAGTGCTCAGATACAGGCGCCGCGCTGGTCACCTGCCTGACTCGGCGGGGCTCGGTGGGCCCACCCTGGGGAGGGGAGCGGAAGCCCCGGCCCGAGCAGGACGGGAGGCGCTCAGCAGCTGAACGCCCGCCCTGTCCGGCGGTGACTGTGCGGGAAGCCTGGAGGCTGTCTGGGGGGTGTCCCTTGAGGGGCGAGGTGGGTGGCTGGCCCTCCCCAGGGTGGCCGGGGCTCCCAGTGGGCCTTTATCTAGAGCCCAGCTGTGGCCGCAGGAAGTGGCCGTTCCTCTCTGCTGCACCGTCTCCCCACTGGACCCGGTGATAACAGCGGGGGGTTGAGCAATACCTCGTGGGTGCACGACCTCTGACCTGCTGGCCTGGGTGGGGGTTCCAGGGCTGCCCCTGCCCCGCCGCATCCCGCACACAGGAGGTGCTTGGTGAATGCCGAATGACCAGCTCTGGGCTTCTTCCGTACTCTGCCCCTGCCACCAAGTTCCACCCCCTGCGCCGAAGCCCCAAACCTCCCAAATGTCCTCTTCCTCCCCCCAGGGCCTCAGGGCCTCAGCCTGCTCAGCCTCCCGTTGGCCCATCACCGGCCAACCTTGGAGTCCTCCTCCAGCCCACGAAGTCCCTGCCCCCCGGGAGGCCCTGGGGTTCGGCCAGGAGTGTCCAGCGCTGGTCGGAAGTCGGGGCGGGGGCGGGGGGGGGTGTCTCGAACGCTGATCGGACACACTCGCCCTGCCTCTGCCCTTCAAGGCCCTTCAAGGCCTCTTCTCGGCCCAGCCTCCCTCCACAGCTGCCCCCACTGCCTCCCCGCCCCGCCACAGGCCCTCGGCAGAGGGAACGGTGCTCCCGCAGCAGACCCCGCGAGCCCAGGGTCGGGGTCAACTGCCCCCAGGGAGCACAGCGCCCCATGCCCAGCATCCCTGCTGCCTGGGTGCCGTCCAGCAGTCAGGCCCTGGCACTGGCCGAGCTGCCTAATTAATGGCTCGACTGCGTTATCAGCCAGGCATTAATTACTCTTTTTAATCAGGCCTGCCAGTGCGGGGGCCGCTGGAGGCCCAGCCAGGGCTGGAGGGAGACCGGGGAGCCGTGACCTTGTCCCTCCTCTCGCAGGCCCCCCAACTCCGCACTCCCACCAGAGCCCTCACTCCTGCTGTCCCGTCTGCCGAAGCATCCCCCCCCACCCGCCACCCCAAACTGCTACTCTCTCTTCAAGACCTTGCCCAGGTGGCCCCTTAGTGAGAGGCTTCCTCACCCTAGTCATGGCCATGGGGGACAGACATGGCTGAACTTGGAGCTGGGAGGCCATGGCCAGGACTGGCCTTAGCCCCCTCAAAGGAAACCTGGAAATTCTATGCCCCGTGAGGAGACTGGGGAGGCCTGAGGTCTGGATCGCCTGAGGGTGAGCCGGCACTGAGAGGGTCCTGGGCCACCTCAAGGAAGCTCTGGGTCCGCGGAATGGGTGTGATGAGCCCCACTCCCACCCCACCAGGTCCTGGGGAAGAGGCCCAAGGGACAAACTGGCCCTGGACAAATGTGTGTGCCCACCCTGTGCACACTGGACCTGACACCCACCTCTTCACCAGACACCCAGCCTGACAAAGCCTCCGCAAATGAGACACACACACCCAGAGACCAAGTTCCGTGTGCACACCCAGACACAGACACATGTGCACACACGCTGGCCAGGGTAGGAGGCCTGGGAGAACAGGAGCTGCCCCTTCTCCTGCCCCGGGCCCCCAGGGCTTCCCACTTTATCTGTCAGAAGTATATTAACCCAGAAGCCTGTTTCCATCAGAGTCTCAATTCCAGAGACGTTTCCAGATAAGCCTTATCTCGTTGCTGGTGCATTAGCCCCGCCAGCCAGCCAGCCGGGCCTGCCGATCACGACCGCCCCTCCTGCCCCAGTCCGTGGCAGGGCGCCTGCCCAACGACTTCATTCTGGGGGGCAGGCGGGCGGGGCGGCCCCCACCCCGGACCTCAGCCCACAGTAGGGTCCCAGGGCGCAGCCGAGGCACTGGGGCGAGGGGGGGCCCTGGAGGTGTCCAGAACCGGGGTTCAAATCCCAGCTCCACCTGAGGCAATGGCTGGGCCCCGGGGCTGCCCCACCGGCCACCCCTGCGGGTGGGTGAGCATATTCTGCGACTTTACGTGCGTGATGATGCCACGGTGGGCTCCGCACACTGTAGCCCTCTCTTCCACGAAACGTGGAAGGTCTGGGGGTGCCTGGAGCCAAGGGAAGGGGGACACTGCTCCAGAGAGCACCAGGCGCCGGCCCCCACCCTACCTGCCCGCCGTGCTCCCCCTTCAAAGGCTGCGCCCCGCCGACGCAGCTGGGGTGCTCGGGTTTCGACCGATGCCAGACCTGATAGCGTCCCCTCCTGGGCCGCTGGCCACGCGGGCAGTCTCACTGCACCCTGGCAGCCCCTCCCTGTCCCGCGGCTCGGCTGCCCCCTCCTCCCTGGGCCTTAGTTCCCTCGGCCTGAGCCCGCCTGCTTCCCGGGGCTCCGAAGAGTGCTGTCCTCAGGCGAGACGTGGGCACCCTCAGAGGTCCTGGAGGAGTGGCCGATTGGGGGCAGTGCTGGGTCTGGGCTGCCCACACCACCGCTGGGAGGTGCTCAGGCCCCCAGTCTCCCGGTGGGGAGACAACATCTACTGGTCCCCCTCCCACGGCTGCAGGGACACGGAGGCCAGCAGCTGCTCTGACTCTCCTGCTGTACCCAGGGACCCGGGCAGAGGCCGGGACTTGCCCGAGGGCACAGTGCTGGTCAGTGGGCAGCCAGGATGTGATGCCCAGCAGTGGCTCGGGGCCCCTCTCTCCCACGGATCTGCCCCCAGAATTAGCACCTGCTCACGGAGGACCCCTCGCCCCGCTGGGTCACGTGACCCCTCACGTGGAGCTAGACAGTGATGTGCTCACGGTCACAGCCTGTGCAGGGCAGGGCAGGGCCACCCCGAGGGGGCCTGGAGGGAGAGGTCACCCTCACAGCCCTCAGTCGGGGAGGACTTGGCCTGGCTGGAGGTCCCAGTGGTGCCCACCTAGCTCCCCACGCACTGAGGACGACGAAGGAAGGTTTCCTCATCTGAGGGGTGAGTCCCGGGAGGCCCCAGCCCTGCCAGGGTCCCCTCCAAAGGGCCGAGTACCCACGGGAGCGGCCAGCCCGGGGCCTGGTACCAGCAGGTGCTCGTGAAGGCCCTTCCTGCTCCCCTTGGACTGGACTGGGCTGGGGGCGGGGCCTCTGCCTGAAGTCCTTGCTGGGAGCCCACCCTGTGACCTACGGTGGCCTCAGCCAGGTGGCACCGCCTCCCTGGTGAGATGGGGTGCAGGGCAGGGGTGGGGCTAAACGAGAGTGGGGCCTGGAGCCTGGCCCATGGTGGGGTGTCGGGGACGGTTCCCAGGGGAGCTTCCTGACTGTGCTGCGGCAGCGCCAGCTGCCCCCGCCCTATTCCCAGCTCCGGGGGGATGGGGGCCAGGCCCGGACTGTCCCTGCCCGCCTAGCCCTAAGCTGTCGCCCTGATGGCTGCCTGGCCTGACGTCTGTGACCCTGCGAGGGCTGCCGTGGGTTGGCCGCCACCACTGTTGCCGGCACCCATGCTGGCGCTGGATTAGGCTGCCCGCTGCCCAGCATGGCCACCACGCACAGGCCCGGCGGGTGCACAGCATCCTTCTCTGCCCAGGGCCCTTGGCTCCAGGGCTTGCCAGGCCCAAGTCATCTGATTATGGCCCATCCCCGTTAATATTCTTAATGCCAGTTTCGCAAATTAAAGCATAATGCACCGCTTACCAGGGTAAAAGGGAGGCCTCTGCGTCCACCTGGAGGCCAAATAAAGGGACTCTGGAACATGTGTTCATCCTGCAAGTGTCTTTAAAAGCTGATACCCCCTCAGCCCATCAGCTCTGCCACTTCACCCTTTTCTGAGTATGGCCAGGTCGGGCTGCAGGGTGGGGTGGCTTGAGGCACAGGGGGCAGAGGAGCCAGGGCGGGGCTTGCTGGGCTCGAGAGAGGCCCGGCTGCAGGGGCTCGGCACAAGGCCTGGGGACTCCTGGTGTTGGGGGGCAGGGCCAAACCCCCCAGCCTGCCTTCTGCCCCGAAGCACTGGCCTGGCACCCGCTGCTCCCAGACACCCCTGGGCGCCCTTCCTGGACTCGGCTGCCCAAGGACTCCCAGACTCTCTCAAGGCCCAGGAGACCCGAGGGGCCACCGAGCCTGACCTAAGGGCCTGACACTTTGTGGACCCCCTCAGCCCAATGGGTCCCTCCCCTAGTGCTGCTCTCGGCAGGAGCCCTGGCAATTCCCGACATCGCCCTTGGGAACAGATCTGGGAGGGTGGGGGGACCCCAGGAAATCACAGAGACCGGCAGAACGGGCGGCACCACGGGGCATTTATTTGCGACTGGCAAGCGCTGGCCGCCAGCCGGGCAGCCTGGGGGACACCGGCCACCAGCTGTGGAGCCGAAGCCCATTCCTGCACGGTGCTGTCCCCTGGCGGGGGGGGTGCGGGGGCTCCGGGGAGAGCCTGGAGGTGGAGGCACATGTGGCACTGTGGCCCCCGGGCCTGGGCAAGGTGCCCTGGGGCGGCCGGCGGGCACTCAGGGAGACTGGACCATGCGCTTGTGGGTGTCGAAGACGTAGCGCTTGAAAGACAAACTGAGAGCCACGTGCTGGACGGGCTCTGGCTGCCCGGCCTCCTCCCCTCGGCCGGCGCGGCCCCGCTTCTTGAGGGTGGGTGTCAAGATCTTCTTGGACTCGGGGCTGAGGCCACCTGCGTGAGGCACAGAGGGAGAGCCTGTCACTCTGCCACCCGCCACCACAGACGGCACGTGTGCTGGCCCAGCTCCATCGTGCCCCACGACTCAGCAACGCCCCTACACCCTCTGTGGCGGAGCCGGGACCCCAGTGCCACCTTGGGCTCGCCCCCCTGCCTCCCCAACCAGCATTCCGGGCCCCTCGCCGCACTGGTCCACGCCACCAGCCCGGCTGGCTTGGAGCTCAGCGTGGCTCCCACCTGGCTCTCCCGGTCCCCTGCCCGCCCACCCACCCAGCACTCAGGCCCCTGTGGGCCGCCCCGCTCTCGGTGCTCTAAGCGGCCCCGCCGTTCCCGGCGCATTCATCCGAAGTCTCAACCCTGAGACTTGGCACTTGAGGCCCCCCGGGCTCGGCACTCTCCAACAGCCCCTGGAGATGCTCTCCCTGCCCTGCTGTGTGCCCGGGTGGTGACCTCTGCAGACGGCATCACGGTTCTGCCAAAGGACCTCAGTGGATTGGAGGGCGGAGGGAGGGAGAAGTGGGGTGACGGTCCCACTCTCTTTGGCCAGAGCTCCTGTTGGGGTCCTCCTCCCTCGGCGCTGGCAGACGCTGTCCCCCTAACCCCAGGCGGGGGTGGAGCGGCCCCCACGGCTCACTGGCTCCTTTAAGCACCCACGCCTCGGTACAGACCCTCTGTCCGCTCCCTCCAGCCAAACGACTGAGCGGAAATCTGCTTCCTGCTGACACCCTAACGCCCACCCGACCCTTCCAGCCCCATCATCCACTGCTTTCGTGCTTTCCCGGCAGCCTTGAGGAACCCACGACCGTCCCCGGGCTCCCCTCTGCCTATGCCGTTCCTTCTGCCTGGGACACCCTTCCCCTCGTCCAACACCAGGCTGCTGTGCCCCTTTCTCTGGGGCTTGTCTTTACGAGGCGTCTGCTCGGGGGCAGCACAAGGCAGTCTCTCCGTGGGCTGCCGGCCAGGGTGAGACTACTTGGCTACCCCGAGCATATGGGCCGAGGCTCTGGCCAGGCCCCAGACTAGCTCTGCACCAGCGGGCACCCCAGAACAAGCCGCTCCCCCTCTGTGAGTCCCACAACCCTGCTGGGAGCAGGCTGGCAGGGCTGGGGTGAGGGTTAGCCTGGATGGGCCAGGAGGTGTGCAGACTCCACACCCTAGTGAGGGGTACCAGCCCACACCGGCTCGCCAAACGAGGGTCCTGGCAGGCCGCTGTGTCCCCAGAGAGGGCACTCACTTCTAATCCACACACAGACGCTCCACTGGCCAGGAGACCTAACGGCTGGGTGTCCGGAGCCGGTGGGAAGTTGGGATGGGCACGAGGCGGTAGATCGCCCCCTGCACACCCGGTGCACCTACTGTGCCTCTGTCGTCACGTGAGGGGTGTCCTCCCGGGCCCAGTCTCGCCTGGGCGCTGGCTTGCTCCCGAGAAGAGGGGCCAGCGGAAGCTCACGTCGCGCTTCAGTGCAGGGAGGACCCTGGCCGTCCCGTCCCCCGGGCCCTCCACGCACTTGCGGAGAACGGAGCCCTGAGGAGGGCGGTGCCTCATGTGAGGCCCCACAGTCAGCTGGGAAGAGCCAGGATTTGAACTCTGGTCCACATCTGGTGGCAAATGTGGGCTGCTGCCACCCAGCCCATCGCTCGGGGTGTCCACCCGAAACAGGCTCTGGACAATGGCTCTGCAGAGGAAGCAAGACCGGGAGAGCACTGGGTATTGGCCCTGCAGCTGCTGGATGTTTAGAAAGGTGACCAGGAGGCTGGTTCAAGGGACAACCGTAGAGTCAGCGGGGACGGCCCTGCTCGCTGCACGAGGGACTCGGTCTCCCTCTCCACCGCCCACCTCAAAGCCTGCGTTCCCTGGGGAGGCGGGGCTCTCGGCTGACGGGGCTCCAGGATGCTGGGGCCAAGGGGAGCCTCCCTCCTGCTGGGCAGCCTGGTGTCAGATCGAAGGCCCCACGCCCGCCGCTGGGGTCGGGCGTGGGGCGTGGGAAAGGCCCCGGGGCAGCCCTCAGGCCAGTGCCAGTCCTGCAGGTATGTCTGACTCCCCGGCCTTCCTTCTGCAAGGAGGCGGCTGGCACCAGACCCTGACAAATGCACGGGCAGCCTGTCCCCCTCTGGTGCCAGGAGGTCTGATGGCTGAAGAGGCGCGGGGCTCCCCGGCGTCTGCGCCGGGCTGGGGAGACAGGCGTGGCCCAATCGGCGGTCCATCTCGCCCGCGATGGCTCTCGTTACACAGAGCGCATACCTCGCGCGGCCCAAAGCAGGCAGAGCTGGAAAATCTATCTGGCGCTGGCGAGGACGAGGCCACTTAATTGTTCTTCTGAGATGGCTGCCTTGTTTCCCTCTGCTCTGTTATGGGGTGGCCTGAATGCCGACCAGCCGAGACCGTCTGCTGGGGCAGCCAGGCTGTGGGGATGCGTGGCGATGCCACTGGGAGCCACCTTGTTGTGTGGTGGCCTTTCCCCTCAGCCAAGTGGCAAGTGGTGTGAAGTGAGGGCAGGTCAGGGTGTCGGGTGGTCATTGCCTGAAAACCTTCACAGAGTTCTCCAGGCCTGGGAGACGATGGTGGGCCTGCCCGCCAGAGTTTGGCCCGAGAAGGGGCAGGCAGTAAACAAGGCAGCAAGGTAGGCAGACAGCCACCAGGGCCACCAGGGAAATAACGCCGAGGGCTAGCTTCTCCAGGAAGAACCGGGGCGGGATCTGGGGGACCTGGGGCTGGAGATCAGGGGCCGGCCACATGGAGATGCCGGGTGAGGGTCTGCAGGCAGAGAGCCTGAGCGCCAAGTCCTGGGTGGGGTGGGCATGGTGCTCGAGGACAGAGAGCACATATGGCCACGTGCTGGTGGGGCTGCAGGGCTGGGGCTCTGGGCTAACCGTGTCCACGAGGTGCCCCGTGTGCTGGGCCCGTGGGAGCCCAGACAGGGAGGGTCTCAGGCCCTTGCTCGCCCCCAGGGAGGCCACGGATTCTGCCGCCGCTGTTGCATCAAGCATCCCTGCTCTGCATCCCTGCCTCCTGGCCCCGCACAGGAGGCCTCCGTGGCGCTGCCCTGGGGGACCACTGTGCTGGTCTTCTCCCTTGTCCCGGCTTGGTTCCACCCACGGGACAGAGTCTCTCCTCTTACTTGACATCCAAGGTCCTGAGTGTCACCCAGCGGGTGCCTCCCTGTATACTCTGCCACATCACGGGCTCCCTGCTCCAGCCAGCAGACGTAAAGCAGAGCCTCTGAACCTGCTCCGTTCACCTGGGACACTCTCCCCGGCCCTCTCTGTCTGGCCAACTCCTACTCAGCCACTGCCCCACGGGAAGGCCTCCCCGCCCCCGCCCCGGCTGGCGGGATCACTGCTGGAGCCCCATTTCGCAGGAGTTTTGCTTTGTGTCTGCTCCCCAGCGGCCCGTGTGGGAGTCAGGGCCCAGGCACAGGGCCTGGCCTGCGGGCACAGGGAGGGTTTGCTGGACGAAGACGCAGAGAATGAGTGGGGTCTCGAGTGGCTGTGCAGGGCGAGGAAGGGAAACCCACCAGCAGAGCTGTGCCTCCAGGACCAGAAAAACTCGTCTGCATGCCTGCGGCCCAGGGAGGAGCTGGGTCTAGAGAGCAGGCCCCCTGCCCCACGTGACCTGGAGCCTGGTGGGGTGGGCATGAGGGTAGGGTTGCTGCAGGTTTCAAGTTCACGCTGTCCCCGTGATCCCACGGGGCTCACAGGCGTCCCTGCTTTTTCTCCCTAACCCTCAGGATTCTTGGAGCCCAGCGGCCCCGCTCCACCCCCCGACCAGCCCAGACCCCGGGATGTGGTGGGGAGGGCTGGCGTGACCCTGGGGGTGACGCTGCTACCCGTGGCTTCCCTTGGGGACACTCTCCCAGGGCCGGGCTGGCCTTTCTCACCGAGCGCCAGCTCCACACAAAGGCACAATGGGCTGGAGGCTGCTGGGCCCTGGCTCGGGCTCGGGTAATCAGGGAAGAATGCGGGCAGCGTGCTGTTTCCCAAGCCCTGGCCTTGGGTGCCGCCCTGACACGGCCATCAAAGCCGGCAAATTGCCTCCAACTGCTGGCGTTGCTTTCATGTTGGGGGCCCGACTGCAAGAGCGGTCTCCACGCTGGTGGGCGGCTTGCACCCTCCAGGGGGAACCGAGCCCTGCAGGCAGCTCGGGGTCACTGGCCCCCGCGGTGGCCCCTCAGAGCTGTGCCAGCTCCCGCCATTCCAGCACGCCCCCTCCCGCAGCACGCAGCTTTGGAGAGAGCAGAAATGCAGGGCGGGGAGGGAGCCGGGGCACAGGGGGCCCTTTGGGGGTCATCATCCCGGGGATGACGGGTGGCTGAGCAGCACAGAGGGGCACAGCCAGCAGCTGGGCTGGGGGCTGGATGGTCATGAAGGGCCTTGAATTCAGCCACAGCCGACTCTGGACTGGATGCCCGCCCTGGGGGCAGTGTGGCTGAGGTCCCTCAAACTGGGCCTGGGCTGAGCTTGGCTCTGATGGAGCCAGCACGGCGGAGAGGCCCAAGGAGGACAGGCAGCCTGGTTTTCCCAGAGGCGAGTGCGGTACGGGGCAGGCCTAGCGGGTTAGGGAGAGCCGGGTTGGCGACCAGAGCTGGCGCGAGGACTGGCCGCTCGGGCAGAGAAGGACTGGCCGCTCGGGCAGCCGGGGCACCGGTCGGCTCCCTTCCTGCTGAACCTCCTGAACTTTGGGGTCTTTTGGGGTGAAGGCAGCTTTGGAACCCCTGCCATGGCTTTGCAGGCCTGGTTTGTCGTGCTCATCCTCGGGAGCCTGGAGCGTGGCTGGCTGGGGGGGGACAGCTGCCTGGTTTTCCCTCCTTTCCCTTCCTGCTATGGATCCCATATGTAAACAAAGATGCAATTTGCTTTAAAAAGATAAGGTGATTAAGTTTTTATCAGACGTGTGCTCCGCTGTCCCCGCAACAAAGGGAATTAGGAGAGGCGGGCGACAGACAGGCCCTTCCTTGGAGCTGGCCCCGTCTGAGGCCTTCAGCGCACACTCCACG